CGCAGCCAATGGCAGCGCCTCCTCCCCAGCCCGCCAGCCAATCCCGGCGAGGGGCGCGCGGAGCGCCGGGCCGGAAGGACTCCGGCCGGAAACGCCTCCCCCACGCCCCGTCAGAGCGGGACACCAAGGTTCCGGCTACCTCCCTGCACGGAAGTGCCCCTCAGCGTGCCACCGGAAACGGAAGTACGCCGCGGCGGAAGTATTTGCGTCATGGCGTTGAACTTTGACGTCGATAGGTCGGAAAGCTCGCAGAGCCCGGCTCGTTTGACCTTTGACCTGTGCCCCGCTGGCGGCTGTGACCTGTTGACCCACATACACTGTGAGCCCTCGGCCCACGCGCATCTTCTCCAGAAGTCGGGGTCAGGCAGCTCTGTGACCTCTTGACCTTTGACCTTCTGAACACCCTCATCTGTGGCCCCTGGACCTTGCAGCAGCCAGGGTCAGGGCCGTGAGGAATTTCTAACGCCTAGCCGCTCCCGGACAGTCCTGGAGGGTTGGCAACAGGGATGTGATTGTGTAAGTGATTAACCAATTAGCAAAAGCAGATAGGTTAATGCTACCGAGGACGCGCGCGCGCACACACACGCACACACCTCTCCCTAACCCCCCTCCCTCCCAAACACTACACACTCCCCCTCCCCCCCACACACACTCCTTGCCTGTGAATTTTTTAGTAGGCTGACCAGCAGCCCAGCTCAGTCCCGGCGTGCAGTGGGTCCTGGACCTAACCCGCTGCAGCTCTGCATTTAAAGTGTTTTAGGAGCCAGGTGGGCAGGCAGCCCGGCTCAGTTCCTGCTCATGCCAGGTACGGTATCTCAAACCCCTCCCTGCTGAAAGGGGCTGCCCAGGCACTATAGAAGTATCCGGCAACCCTAAATGCTCATACAACTAAACATATTTGCATGTTGAGTTTGGGGGATAAACACATTAAGAAAGAGGTGGAAAAACTGGAGCGAGTCCAGAGTAAAGCAACTAAAAGGTTTAGAAACCTGACCCTTGAGTAAAGGTTAAAAAAAAACCTGGGCATGTTTAGGTTTCAGAAAAGACAACCAAGAGAAGATCGCAGAACAATCTTCCAACTATGTAAAGGATTGTTACAAAGAGGACAGTGATTGGCTGCTCTTCATGTCCACTAAATGTAGGACAAATAGTAATGGACTTCATCTGCAGCACAATGCATTAAGGTTTACATATTAGGATTTTTTTTTCTAACTGTAAGAATAGTTAAACACTGGAATAAGTTACTAAGAGAAGTTGTGGATTGTTGAAGCAAAGGCTTCCCTCTGTTTTGGCAGCTAACAAACTGTGCCTTATTGATTAATCAGGCACAAAGTGAGCCAAACGTGGTCCCAGCAGAGCCAGGACCAGAGCCAGTAAGGATGTTCAGCACAATCAATCCTAGTATTTTATACCCTTAACCAAACAAGTCTGACGTCAGGGCAAGAAATCAAATAGAACTTCAAAGAGGAATTATTATCAGCAAAGAAAGAAAGAGGTTTTAGGGAGTAAGGGCTTCAGCTTAAAATAGTTCATTAACACATTCCAACAGCCCATCCTTCTGGCCTAACCTTACATCGCTGAAGATCAGTTTACTCCCGCTAGTATAAGTGCAGACACAAGAAACTGAAGTGGCTTTTGTTATACAGAATGGCTTCTAGCTAAATATGAAATGGCTTCCACAGGATCCTCCACAGATTGGACAATACCCGTCAGGGATGTTCTAGATCAGTTGTTCCCAAGCTTCCAAACTTTTCGGCATCACGCCCCCTTTTTGATTTTCGGAATACCCTCACCCACCCCCCAAAAATAGCAGCAAAACTTGTTGGGGGGGGGGAGAAGGAACTGACTGGGGCAGCAAAACTTGATGGAGGGGGGAGACTGGGTTTCCTCGTGCCCAGTGTGGTCTTTAAGTCGTCATTGTCAAGTCCAAGTCGAGTCTCAAGTCACTACAGTTCAAGTCTCAAGTCGACTCTTGAGTCCCTAAAGTCACTTTAGAGTCAAGTTCCAAGTCGAGTCTCAAGTCTTAATTTTAAAAATGTCAAGTCACTTTTGTACAAGCCATCAATATCGGCATTTTCGGACAATTTTTTCACCAAGTCGATTTAACAGAATTAGCAAGTCTCAAGTCGAGTCCCCAAGTCACAAACAATGAACCCAAGTCGAGTCTCCAGTCGAGTCACCTAGGCGACTTAAGTTGGACTCAACTTCAAGTCGTGGGACTCGAGTCAACAACTTTGCTCACACCCTCCTGGAATTTCTTCACGCCCCCCCAGGGGGAACCCATGTTCTAGATATATTTGGTCCTGCTTCAGTACAGGAAAATCTAGTAGATGACCTCACTTTCAATTTCCCTTCCCGTTCTACATTTCTATGATTCTAAGGCCCAAATCCTCAAAAGTATTTAGGCATCTAGTAGGCACGTGGATACCTTTGAAGATCTGGGCCCAAAGCCTTAACATCAGGTTAGGAAATAATGTGACGTGCCATTCATTCTTTCTTTGACCAGAAACTCTTTCATTTTCTGGGACAGTATTTTTGATTTAGCATTAGTGAATCTCATGGTCACTACTTCTATTCCATCATAACTATTCAGATATTAAATGTACCATTAGGCCAGAGAAACAGGGCACTGGATAAGCCTCTGAAACTTACCGAATATGATTTTATCCCCAAAATGTTAGCATTTCTTATTAGGTTCAAATTTAATTAAATGTTGGAAATCATGAAGGCCAATGCATAAATTCATGCAAATAGTACTAGGCAAATAAGAGGCTGAAGTTCTGAGTCAGTCCATAAAAATAGTAATACTGCTGTGAAAATCGATACACGACACAGGAACTTTGAATCCTTCCTGCATTATCTTATTTGAGAACAATGCTTTCTATTCTTCCTCTGGTGTGTCTGTGTAACCTGGATAATACATAATGAGGCCAAAAATGTTTGTAACATGGTACTCTAGCGTTCTATGGTGTGCATTACATTTATCATCAGCATACTCTTTGAAAGGATAATGCAAACTTTTGTGGGCCATAATTTAAAAAACCTTCTCTCTTTTTGCAGTCTGTGTAACTACTGGTGTTTTTACTTCTATCTGCTGCTCAATAAAGAATTCAGGATTAGGATCTTAATGTTCAATATCAGGATCTTAATGTTCAATATCATTTTTGGTGAGATAAAAATCAATGCCAGTAGCCCCTTTTTTACCAAAAAACAGGTTTCTACACTACAATAGAAAGGTTCACATTATTTAAAGAAACATACCTGTTACAAACTGTACAGGGAAAAGAGTGTTAAAATTAGGGGTGGGGCACACACCATGGCTACGTCTAGACTGGCCCCTAATTCCGGAAAAGTCATGCAAAGCAGGTAAGTCAGAATAGGGAAATCCGTGGGGGATTTAAATATCCCCCGCGGGATTTAAATAAACATGTCTGCCGCTTTTTTTCCGGCTTCGGGAAAAGCCGGAAGAAAGCGTCTAGACTGGCGCGATACTTTCAAGTAGGAATAAGAGATCCTCCGGAAAAGGGCTTTATTCCAGAGGATCGCGCCAGTCTAGATGCTTTTTTCCGGCTTTTCCCGAAGCCGGAAAAAAAGCGGCGGACATGTTTATTTAAATCCCGCGGGGGATATTTAAATCCCCCACGGATTTCCCTATTCTGACTTACCTGCTTTGCATGACTTTTCCGGAATTAGGGGCCAGTCTAGACGTAGCCTAGGGGATAGGTGCCTAGGGATAGGTGCTGAAACTAGGACTGCAGAAGGTGCTGCAGCACCCGCAGACTTGAAGTGGTTTCCATTTTATGCGGGGTTTACAATTTGGGTCAATGTGTCTTGGCACCCCCACTATAAAAATTGTTCCAAAACCCTGACTACTGTTGGGCATGTCTATACTGTAGCAAAAACCCAGTGCCAGCTGACTCAGGATCATGGGAATGTTTAATTGTGGTGTAGACATTCAGGCTTGGGCTGAAGACTAGGTTCCAGGACAGTGGTTACCAACCAGTTGATCATGATCGACCGGTTGATCACAGAGGCACTGCCAGTCAATCTCGATGCAGTGTTCCCCACCCTTCCTCTCCCCTCCACCCGCAACAAGGAGCCCGCACTGCTCCTACAGCCTCCTGCCCCTCGCAAAATTGGAGTGAAAGCTGGCTTCTCATGGCAGAGGATGGGGGTGGGGAGAAGTCCCACAGCTCCGCACCAGATCCGGCTTCTCAGGAAATGCACGCTGCCCACAGCAACACCCGCAATTTCTTGTCTTGTTTTGCCTTCCTTCACCTGTGCACCAGGGAGGCAGGGTTGGGTGGGCAGGGGAGGGTTGACATGACAGTGGAGGATCTGGAGTGGCTGGATTTCTTAATGGAGCTGCACATGTGTGTCTTCCAACGCTGCCTGCAGATCCTTCTCAAGAGATACTTGTCCCTGGAGATCCCCAGGTACCTGTCAAAACTGCCTCTGGCCCCTCTCCTGGCCAGACACCCACCAGCACCCTGTCCCTGTTCCCTCTTCCCTGGCCAGACACCTACCCCCAGCTTGCTCCTGTACCCTACTGTACCACCATGCCTATCCCACTCACTGGCAGCACAACTCACCTCATTTTGCCTGGGGTCAGTGCAGGCAACCCCCATTTGTCTCATGTTTGTATGACTAAAATGTTTAATAATTTTGGGGCCCTGATTCATTCATAAGGTGCCAGAGCTGTGGCCAACCCTACAGTGAACCTGGAATGGACTTTGAGGTAATAACATCACTAGAAGCCAGTGAATTTTGCAGGGGGTCTGGTTTTTCTGCAACACCGTGCACAGCTTGGTTCACTTCAGGAATTGTTTACATGGATAGAATGATAGACGTAGGAATAAGAGATCCTCCGGAAAAGGGCTTTATTCCAGAGGATCGCGCCAGTCTAGATGCTTTTTTCCGGCTTTTCCCCAAGCCGGAAAAAAAGCGGCGGACATGTTTATTTAAATCCCGCGGGGGATATTTAAATCCCCCACGGATTTCCCTATTCTGACTTACCTGCTTTGCATGACTTTTCCGGAATTAGGGGCCAGTCTAGACGTAGCCTATATGTTTGATCTCTTACAGTTTTTCATGTGTTTAATGCATTTTGTTTCCATCTTAATACTGTTGTTACTTGTTTGCTTATGTGTAGGACTTGATCCAGCAAAGCCCTTAAACACTTGATTTTGATAAGGCTACTCATCCGTTCTTAGTTAAGAATATTTTAAGTACTTTGCTGGACTGAGGGTTTATTGATATCTCTCAAGCAGTATACCTGCCTTTCTGGGTTGTTGTAGGGATTGCACAACACTTTTGAAGATATCAAAACTAATGCAAAGGGCCCAAACATGCACACCTTAGCAGTTGCTTTGGGGCCCAAGCATTGAGTATATCATGAAATTTCATATGGTGGCTCTTTTTTGTTTGAGTAACTGGACAAAGTGTGAAATCCTGCAATATAGTCTGTTAACTGAAATTTACAATTGCCTACTGCATTAAAGAGGAAAACACTGTTGTCATTTGTTGTATAAATAAGTAAACACCTCTCATCCCTGAAGGCTACAATCAAATTACCGACAGCTGGAAATCATGGTCAAACAAAAAATTAAACTGTTTTATTATCCATTAACTTTATGCTGCACGTGTCACACTCTGGAGTGACTTACAACTGTGAGTGCTTACCTCAGGGTAGACTGTCACAAAACAAGGGCAGACATCCCAAACTGGTGATAAATTCTATAATTAGATTTCACCCAGTCAGGAACAAATGTGAACTCTTGGATCATTGAAACACTCTTACTCTGGAGTCATGAACCATTAGATTCTCCAGCTTATCTTGCCACCTAAGTTCCCTGGAAACTATGTGGCTACACAGCAGTTTATTAAGTGCCACATAGGCACTTAGGGAACCCAGCCCTAGTGGACGTGCTATGGCTGGGGAAGAGCCTGGCTCCCCTCCTCTGTCCCCGATCTAGTGCCCCTCCCCTGACCTCCAGCTAGCCTGGCCCCCAATCTGCCCCATCCCGAACCCAGGCCTGGCCTGGAGCTGTTGCAGCCAGGCGACAGGTATCTGGCACCAACCCAGTCTGGCCCTGAACCTGTCACGGCCAGAGGTGAGGCACCTTTTCTGCAGCCCCAGCCATGGAGCTACCATGGCAGAGAGAGGCACCTCCTCCCACCCCCGGCTTAGGTGCTGCTGCTGCAGGGAGAGCGAGCGAGCTTGGAGGAGTCCTCTCCCCCTCACTGTAGCCCTGGGACAGCCTGCACCCCAAACCCCTTATCCCTGCCCCCACCCCAGAGCCTGCACTTCCAACCAGAGACCTCAACCCCCACATCCCAATCCTCTGCCCCAGCCCCAAGCCCTGGCCCTACCCTAGAGCCTGCATGACCAGCTGGAACCCTCATTCCCACTCTAACCCTCACCCTGAGCTTCTCATCCTCCACCACACCCCCGAGCCTACACCCCCAGCAGAAGTCCTCACACACCTTTTGTGATAAAAGGTTACTGAAATCTAAAAAAATCGCACCCCATCAGGTTTCTCCCAGTTCCTGAAGACCAGCCACTTACCCCAGCTGAATTGATACTCCAAATATTATACCTAAGACAATGGTGGCAGACAATTCTATAGTCAATTAACAAAAAGAGTTATTCATTAACAAAAAAGAATGAAAGTTATTGAGAAATCAAAGCAGGTAAATCACAATTTATAACTTCAAATGGTAGCACTAGTATAGTTAACAGCCAGTTCCCAAAGTCTTTTAGCATAACTCTGGGGACCTCCACTTTCTCATTCAGTTACTCTGCCCTCAGCTTGAGAATAAAGGACTGAGGGAAGTGAGGTGTGGGAGAATAAAACTGAGCTCTGGAGAAATGTTTGGCTAGAGTTTTCCGCTACAATATGTACCAGTTCCAACTTACACACAAATTCAATTTAAGAACAAACCTACAGTCCCTATCTTGTACACAACCCGGGGACTGCCTGTATATCCATTTCCTATTATGGTTCTTGATCCTGAAAACAAAGTAAATGGAAGATGTGTACCTAAACCCCCTAGACTGCATTGAAAAAATCTCAATACCATGTTTTGGAAAGGGAACTGTGTGATGAGAATTGTGGTAAGAAGGATATTGATTTGATTTTCAGTTCATCTTTGGTTCATTACTTTCAGTAGGAGCCGCTGCAGGTTCAAATGCTTTTTTAATGCAATTACGTTTAACTGATAGCAAAGACACCAGGAGTCAATAGATACTTCTGAAGCTAAAGGGTACAATCTTAGTTCCACTGAAGTCAATAATAAAACTGCCATAGACTTCAACGGGGTCAGCATTTCACTTATATAGCTGAGATATAAAAAATCCAAGCAGATAAGATTCAGGCCCAAGAGATGGAAAAAGACAGAGCTAGGGGAGTGCAGTGATGATGGGGTGAACAATGTTCCCTCTAATTTTTTTTCCATTCATGTACAGAATAAATTTTGTTATGTGCACTGAGGCATGTGCAGATGTGCACCACCCGCTCTGCTAATCAGCTGGGCAGCATTTGACTCTCCCAGGGCGGCCGCCCCAGCGCTCAGTTTACAGGGAACGCTGATAAGCAAGTGGAAAGCTGACATTACAGCTCAGTATGCAAAACTGTATTCTTTCTACTGTGACCCATTCATGTACAGAATAAATTTTGTTATGTGCACTGAGGCATGTGCAGATGTGCACCACCCGCTCTGCTAATCAGCTGGGCAGCATTTGACTCTCCCAGGGCGGCCGCCCCAGCGCTCAGTTTACAGGGAACGCTGATAAGCAAGTGGAAAGCTGACATTACAGCTCAGTATGCAAAACTGTATTCTTTCTACTGTGACCGGATTATAGGCTCCTTGTTTGTAAGCTTCCTGGGACAGGTTCTGGCTTGTACTACACACTTTCCTCTAAGCACAATGGCGTTCCAATCCTTGACTGCAAACTGAGCCATAGCATGATATAAACACCACCAGAGGCTTACACAGGAAATGTGAGTCTACAAAACGAGGAAAGGGAGATAGCATGTCTTTGGTAGAAGCTTCAAGCATAAGAAGCCCGTGGCTGTGGAGAAAAGGAGTGGTTGAAATAAGAACGTTCCCTAAGGATGATGGAAGAAGAGATTAAACAGAAATTCCAAAGTCAGCAGATCAGTCATGTATCAGACTTTTCCATTAGTCACGTTGGCTCTGTGTTTTTAACCACCACTCCCCTCTGGTCAGACTTGTGTCTTTTTGCATTAGATGGCCAGATACACTCTCCCAGTGATGCTATAGGTTCAATACGTCAGGAAGGGATTTGCAATTTTCCTGTGATTTTGGCTTCGCCTGACCTGCTTTTCTTTCTGTTGACATGCCTGACTGAAGCAGCCTTTGCCAGCCGCTGCTGTCTTTCCCCCCTCTCCTCCCCCCTATGAAAACAAATGATGGATGGAAAAATAAAAACCCTCCTCCGATAGTGCTTCCAGTGGAGTTATAAAGAGGAATGGATTTGGACTAGCAGCCATGTGAGCAGAAGAAATGAATTATTTGATTATGAAGAATGTACTGGCAATATTTCACATAGGTAAATTTAGTGTCTACTTATGCAGAGCATAGTATATGAGCAACAAACTGCTGTTCTTGGCAACAAAAAACTACAGACCTTGTTCCTCTCACTGTACCTTTCCTCCTAGGTAGTTCCATGTTGAGGCCACTCAAAAATGATCTCCTAATCGAAAATCAGGGCACATTTCTGAATCAAAGTATAAGCTACAACATCTGAAAAAGAAACAGTAAATAGAGTTCACTTTGCCTCTTGGTTCAAGAAGAGCAGAAATGCCAAACTCAACAGAGTGTATTGCTTTCCACAAGAAGTCTAATATTTCCCACCTAGAGACAGTGAAAACAAGGTATTACAGAATGAACTTCTCTAGTCCAGAACACTCTGGTCCAGCAACATCCGTGGTCCGGCATGACTTTAGTTAGCTGGATGTCCACTTATGGGTGTGGCCAAGTTTCCTGTGGTCCCATAAAGTTTGTTTCCAGCCATCAGTCCTGGCTCTCAGTGTTCTGTGCTATTATTTAGCTCTAATTTACTTGAAATATTTTCTAAGAGCCCAGTAAGCACTAGAAGTGTTGGTAATGTTGCTAGGCTATATTGACTTCCTGTGATCTGGCAAATTCTCTAGTCAGGTCCCAAGGGTTCCAGACTAGAGAGGTTCAACCTTCAGTAGAATGGAAGCTTCTTGCATGGTAATGGAGAACAAGCCAAGATCATTTACCAAGAAGCTATGAAAAGAGCATCTTAGAGGAAAGTCTGAATATGGATCGGTAGAGAGACAGATATTTTCCTCCGATCCTGACTGATATCGACTAAAAGGGGTTACCATCTTTGATAGTCTTTGTGAAGCTGGCTGATGGTGTCAGTCCACTCCACCGGATCCAATTCAGTGCCCACTGCAGTTCACATTGAGTCTCCCATACATTTCTTTTAATTTTTTTAGCCTCTAACCTAAATTGTGAACTCCCTCGGACAGGGATTGCTTCTATAGTGCCTAGCAAAATAATGCCCCAATCCTAGACTAGGGTAATGTGCTCTAAGTAATATGGCACTTTCCTAAGCACCATTTCTCTGGCTGAGTCCCCTTTCTTCTCCACTAGGTAGAGACATCTGATCACTGCCTGACTTACGGATCTTTCATTTTAAATAACTTTTCATCCATCAGCACATGAAATTCAGTTTCCAGCCAGGCAATGTCTTTTTAATCAAGAGAAAGAACCTTTGAGAACGATCTGCATTGACCATGCAAATTGCAGCGAAACAGACAGTGGAAGATTTGCATTTAAACAAATCCCAAACAAGCTATTTCAGAGACATCACTAAATTGTGAAAAAATATATTTCCGTCAGGCTCAAATCGAACTTTATCAGCGGAGAATGAGCATTGACTTCATTTTCAGCTGGAAAGCTCCTGGACGTTCATTTTCAGAAATCTTGCAGCATTTGAAAGCGGGAAATTCACAGAAGCATTCAGAATGGAAGCTGGTGAGTTCCATTGTCAAAACTTTCCAAAATATAAAGTGTATATCTCATGAATGGTTAACTGAATGGTCACCCATAAAAGAGAAATGGGTTCATTACATGTTGTCTTTAAATCGCTCGTTGGTATTTTCAATAGTTCAGTATTTTAGCAATATTAACTAATATTTTCATCCTTCTCTAAATACAATTTAGGATGTTTACTTAATTCATAATGTACTTTCAGAATTTATTAGAAAACTATTATAAATTCTGATCAAAGTTAGGTTTTTGCCTCCCTATGCTGCCAATTATTTCAGGGTGTTAACTTCTCAGGATGCGTCTACACTGCACTCTTAGCTCGGAATAAGATACGTACTTTGAGCTATGCAAATTGTGTAGCTCAAAGTGCGTATCTTATTTTGATCTAATTTCGAAATAGTGTATTTTGAAATTTGGCATTGTCTACACAGCACCACATTTAAAAATAAACTGCTATTCCAAAACATCCCTTACTCCTTATGAAATGAGGTTTATAGGGACATTGGAATAGCGAGCCCCTTATATTTTGAAATAACAGGCTTGCTCAAAAGATGTAGAATAACTATTTCAGGATACCAGAAGTATCCCAAAATAGCGCCACTGTCTAGACACACCCTCAGTGTCAGATTTAGCACACTTGGTCACTGGACTCAGTGGGTTAGATTGTGGAAATCAGGGTTATCTATGTGAGAAAAAGTTATGGCACCGGGCCCTTATTTTGTAATTGATAAATTAAATAGGGCCTGATTCCTGCAACGATTTAAGCAGTGACGGACCGTCAATACAGGCAAACTAGGCGGTCACCTAGGGCACCAAGATAAACGGCCGTTGAGGGCTTTGGAGGTGGGTGCGCCGATTGCACGTTTCGCTTAGGGCGCCAGTTGCCAGAAGCTCGTCTAGGGCTGCTCCTGGACTTAAGCCCTTGTGTAACTTTACATTTCTGAGAAGACCAATAGACTTCAATAGGACTACTACTCACCTTAGTAAAATTAAGCATGTAAGTTAGCCTTTGCAGGATCAGAGCTTTACTTTGCAAACAGAAAAACTTAAAAAACAATAAATAATATAGCAGCACCTTAAAGACTAACAAAACATGTAGACGGTATCATGAGCTTTCGTGGGCACAACCCAGAAGTTGGGCTGTGCCCACGAAAGCTCATGATACCATCTACATGTTTTGTTAGTTTTTAAGGTGCTGCTCGACTATTCATTATTTTTTAAGTTTTTCCTGTTACAGACTAACTCGTCTACCACTCTGAAGCTTCCATAAATAGAATCACTAATTTAAAAGTAATTTTAATGATAATATTCATGTGCTTTGCTTCAGTGATTCAAGGTAAGAGGTGGGAAAGCTAGTTCTCTTAAATAAGACTCAGTGTGGAAATTGGCGTCTTCCTTGAAGTTGATCCATCCCTGAATGCAATTCTTTTGATTTTTACGTGAAATATAGTGAAATCGACCCAGTCCCATCTAAGATAGTTTCTGCTATGAAAGGCCCTACTAAATTCATGGTCCATTTTGGTCAATGTCACGGTCAGAGGATTTAAAAAAATCATCATTTTCATGATTTTAGAAATTTAAATCTGAAATTTTACAGTGTTGTGATTGTAGGGGTCCTGGCCCAAAAAGGAGTTGTGGGCTGGGTTGCAAGATCATTGAGGGGAATTGTGGTACTGCTACCCTTATTTCTGCACTGCTGCTGGCAGGGGTGTTGCCTTCAGAGCTAGGTGGCTGGACAGCAGCAGTTGATGGCCAAGACCCCTGTTCAGAAGGCAATGTGGCCACCAGCAGCAGTACACAAGTAAGAATGGGAAGGTATGGTATTGCCACCCTTACTGGGCGCCTGGCCAGGAGCCGTCCCTCTTCAGCTGCCCAGCTCTGAAGGCAGCAAAAAATAAGGGGGGCAGTATCAGGATCCCCCCTTAAAATAATCCTGCAACTTCCAAACTCTTTTTGGGGTCAGGACTCCAGTTTGAGAAACGCTGGTCTCTCCCCATGAAATCTGTATAGTACAGGGTAAAGGCACCAAGAAAAACCCACAACAGATTTCACGAGTGGAGACCTGATTTCACAATCCATGACACATTTTTTATGGCTGGGAATTTGGTAGGGCCCCACTATTGTGTTCAGACAACAGTAAAGACAAAAATCTGAACATTTATATTTATAGATAGACATGGGATCTCACACTTCTGATAACAGAAGTCAAATCAGTTAAGAAAAAAAAGTTACTGAGGTTCTGGCGTATCTGACTATGGAGTCTGCAAATAGTAATTGTCTCTCTCAGTTTGTAGAAATTCTAGAACGCTGATAATGGCTTTACAAGTATTTAGAAATCTGTTTACAGAATTGCTTGGACTGAAGATGTTTCAGTGCCCATGTGCTCGAATGGCATAAGATTAGCTCAGCATTGCAATGCAACATGTACACACAGTTTGAGAATCAGTTTTTCATGCTTCCTTTGTCTTTTTATAACAAGTTTTATGATACAGGTTGAACCGCGCTGGTCTGGGACTCTCTGGTCCAGCAACATCTGTGGTCTGGCAGGACCATGGATGTTGCTTGACCAGAGAGTCCCAGACCAGAGGGGTTCAATCGCAGAGGTCGCCAGTGGCTGGGAGCAGAGCTGGTTTGGCGGCTGACAACTAGGGGCAAGAAGTCACACAGGTCAGAGCGGGGTTCTGCAGGCCAAAGCGGGGCCAGGCTCTAGGGTTGCCAGGTGTCCGGTTTTCGCCTGGACTGTCCATTATTTGAGTCCCCCATCTAGTAAAAAAAACTCAGAAAATACCGGACATGTGAAATGTCCGGTATTTCCTGTTTCTCCTCAGACAGAAGCCCAGCAGGGACAATTTTCCCCTGCCATGTCCGGCGGGGAGGTGAGGAGTGCGAGGCCATTTAAAGGCACAGTCCCCCCCCCTTTTTTTGGTCAATAACTTTTGTCTCCCCCCCCCCTTTTTTTTTTTCAACACAAATTTTTTGGGGAGGGTAGTTGAGTGTTCAGTATTTTTGTTAAACCATCTGGCAACCCTAGGGCAGCTCCCATGGCTGACAGTGGAGCCCCGCTGGCCGGAGCAGGGTCAGTGCCCAGAGCAGAGTCCTGTCAGCAGGCCGGTGGCAGTGTGCCGGTGGCCAGGAGGGGAGCCCCGGGAAAGCCCGGAGGACTGACCTCTTCTGGTCCAGCAAAATCCCTTATTCGGGACTGCTCAGGTCCCAAGGGTGCCAGACCAGGGAGGTCCAACCTATATGTATCCATTGGTGTACCTGGAGCCTGACACTGGCATCCTGTAGGGCCTGAGTCTAATTTACCTAAAGCCATTTACACAGCTTTGATCATGTATGTAGTACACGGCTAGTGAGGTATAAAGAGGCCTTGGTGTAAATGAAAATCAGGTTCCAAGTCTTCTTTTGTATTTTGGTCTCATTTATTTAATACCCAAGAATGACCAACATTATTGATGGAAAGGCCTGAACAGCAGGGCTGGTTGTAAAATTGGGGAAGAAGGAGAGGTAGGGATCCTGTAAAATAATTAAACTTTGTTTAAAAAAAAAAAAAGATTTTTATATAGGAACCATTCGATTTTGCAATGTTCTGTCTGTTGATGAAACATCAAAAATATTCAAGGAAAAGACATTTTTCACCAAAGAAATAGTTTACTTGAGGCCCTGATTTTTATTGAAAAACATTGCAAAGGAATTTTTTCAGTCAACCCTAGAGAAAACTGCATCCAATCCAGGCTTCATCTGGTCAAAGTTTTCCTAAAGTTTACTTTTCAATATCTATGTCTGGAGGACTTTTGCCATTCCCCTGTAAAGCTTATTCAACAAACCAACTGATATCCGTGATTGGAATTTGACCTACAATTAAGAAAAAATATTCTCTCTCAGTGATACCAGCGTAAACCCAAAACAACAACACAGAAATCTGAATGTAAATCGTTTGCTAAAACAGAAACCCGGAATTTGAACGGTTATAAAGAATAACTCCACTGACCTCAAACTCGGCTGTAGATATGAGTTTGCTCAGCCAGTCTCACTAGGGATTCTGTTTTATTATACCATCTTTTAATAATTTTATATAACAGTTTTTAAATAATTGCTATTTTAGCCATCAACAGCATAAGACTTCATTTTCCCCATAAGTCCAAATTCAAAAAGTACATGTTCAACTTTAACTGTGTGAATAGTCTCAGTGACGTCAAGGAATCTACTCACATGCTTAAAATTAGGCATGTGCTTTAGTACTTTGCTGAATCATAATCCTTTATTTGGACTCAAACAGAAGTTGCTTGAGTTAATTATTTTACTTGTTAAGACATGTCTATACTCTGCTATTTGGTCACTGGTATTCAAATTATTTTATTAATACAAAATTGTTAATTTAAGGTTTACAGGCACATTTATAGAGGTAGAAAATGCTAAGTGTAAGTATTGTTATTATGTATTGTCCACTTTTGCTGTATTGTCCTGGCATATGACCAGTAGCATGTGTGCATCATATACACGAGCTCCTTTATTATTTCAAAAGCTTCAGAGGAGTGTGTTAGTCTTTAAGGTGCTACTAGACTATTTGTTAAGTTTTTCCTGTTACAGGCTAACAAAACATGTAGATGGTATCATGAGCCTTCACGGTGCAACAAACTTCTTTAGATGACTGGAATATTAGAAGTCTGGATTAAAGAATAAATAAGGGAAGGGGGTGGGGAGAAAAGAGAGGGGGGGGGAATGGATGGGATGATGACACATAAACCTGTTGGAGAACACTTTAATCTGCCTGGACACTCATTAATGGATCTTCGAGTCACTGTTTTGTTTCAGGCCAATTCCACAAGCCAAATACACAGGGAAGAATTGGAACTTAACTTCATTTACAAGTTTAATTCTTATGTAAATGGTATGAACGGGGATATCTGTGGCTCACACACTACTTTCCACATCCTAATGACTTAACCAACCAAATAATGGAAGTGCTAATTGTTCTTATCGGC